CGGGTTTTTCTGCTTCACACGAGGATTACTTTTTTTTCGAACGCAATTTTATCACGATTAAAATCGTTTTAAAACCGCCATATCTTTTCTCTTTCCAAAAAGCTATACGGTTTTCCTGAAGACCTGCTAGTTCAGGAGATATTTTATTATAGATGGGTGAAAGACGCGCTACCTTCTGACCCACCCGAAAAATCGACTGTGCCATTGTAAGGATACACCTTCGAAAATTTCAGTGTGCCTTCAAAACACATATTTCCCTTCAAGATGAGTAAAAGAGGAGCCCGGCTATCACTGATCGATTTGGTCCGAGTGTGCGCCGTGCATTACGCTCCTACGCAGAGGTGGCTGGAAAGGTGTGAATTCTGATTTCAGCTGCTTTTGCCCATGCAAGCAGATGTTTGTTTGGGTTTGGAAAGGACATTACCAGAATCTGTTTGAGATGTATTATTTAATTATCTACGTACTTACGATCTCATGCTATTAACTGATATTTATTTATTTATCTTGCTATTCTTGCTATATTGCTAATAAATGTTTCATTATTTTGTAGTCCTATTACATTCCGGGTCTTCTGCAGCTTTCCGTCCGTTCCATCAAACTTAGCAATGACACTTTTGTACTGTTTGATGCCTAGCGAGCCTACTTTTGCGATACTCCCCACGTCCCCCACGGTTAAGTACGAACCCATTTTTTGGGGATTTCGCATGAAAAGAGGGCTGTTAAACGTAGCAGATAAATCCGTAAAAAATACACTAATAATAATTTTTATTTTTTACCATCTTGACTACCATACCTCCACTCCCACTATCGACTGGAATGTCGAAGCATTGCTCGGCTCTGAGTGACCCTTGGGATTACGACCCCCCCCCCCTCCTTAGCGGTCAAGTACGATCCCCTACAGGTTTCGCACAACGATGCTGTACACTGCGCGTGTGCTCGACTGCGTTCGACTGACATGCGTTTAGGGTTAAATAGAAGATTTTTTGCCATTCTTCTTGATTGGTCTCATACCATCCGCAACTATGACCGATTTTTTTTATTGACTTCCTCTCGGTGACATATGAACCTATATCAAAGATTAATCTAAATTTACTTGCCATCATATCATTCTCTCCAACATCAAAGGAGTGAATGTTTTTCGAGATTGTTGTAGGCTTCACTTGGACTCTTCTCTCGGTTTTTAATCCAGTATTATGCTATCCGATCCCTTAACAGCTCTTTGGTCATCCAACCATTACTCTCATTCAAGCCCTCCTAGGGTAGTCCTTTGCAAACGAAGTTTTGTGGACACAATAATTGGTTCCAACTCACACAGTCCGTGACGTGCCCGGGCGCGCATCAACCGCAATGCCGTGCAAACTTTTCTGATGGCGGACTTGTCTACCAGATGGTAGGTTGTTTAGGCGGCGTTCTCTCCCTGTATGGCGTGCGGCCCCATAACTCAGCACTGGTCGTGGCCACAGGGGTTGCTTCTCAATTCCATTAGCTTTTCTTCCGTGGCTAGGTTGGACAGCGAACACAGTGGGAACAACCACATCAGCTTCTGAATATATAGAAGCCGTTGGCCCTTTGCTCTCCTACTGCTGCATATCTCCACGGGTTTGAATGATAGAGCTAATAAAATGTTTGTTATTATTAGCGTCAGTGATGTCGTGGACAGACGTCTCCCACACGTTTCCACGCATAGCCGGGTCATTACCATGATGTTTGTCTGCCTCGGCAAGTAAGGGAAACAAGATAGCACTGAGCCAGAACGTACCACATGAGCACACGACTTCTACCAACATCAACTGTATAAGAAAGTCCAGCTTTTGCTCCCTCTCCAGCTAGCTATTGCCCTTCTCCAGCTATTCCTCATGATCTTCCAGCTGGCGAAGGGGTTACCGTCTCATAGTAAAGGCCCTGTGCACGATAATAGTGAACTTCACCACCTACAACCAGGGTACGCCATCGTTGTGATCATCACAACGGGGGAGGGTCGTATTTGCCCGCGATGGAGGGGGGGGACGTAAAAGCTAATAGAAGTTTGGAAGGAACCCCAGAAAAGAGTGCCTCATACAGTGAGCGGCTTAACAATAGTTCAAACAACTGTCGCCTACACTTGGAAAAAATGCCGGACTCTAAACCGCAATTTCCTGATGCTGATAGCATTTAGGTGCTGCAAAACAAAAGCCGAGGATGATGACGAGGGCCAGAACTCAAGAGCAACTATGCTGCTTCTGCAATATCCCTCGTAGGCCGCGCATTTCCAGGAAACGTGACAATAAAAACGGCCTAAGCGTCCCACGTTAGTTTAATACAAGCAAAACGCAATTGACAATTGAGATGTTGCCATGCTTCAGAGTCCGAATAAAGGGTGATGAAGATGACAAAGGATAGAAATGAAGAACAACGAATGCAGATGTATGGAAGATTCTAGGTCTGAAAATACTCATAGATGTCACTCTTTGATTACAATCAACGGAATTCATTTAGGTCCTACGTCCCCAACGAGTAATGGAACTAGGCGTGAGGCTACTGTAGATCCGCAGTGCACACAATGGCACGCAGCCGCAGATGTGCGAAGCAATGGCGCTTGCATGCTAGTTGTTCGCGGTCAGCCGCACGCGAGGAGTACAATTCCCAAGCTAATGCAAGCGCATTGGTGCGCGCTATTTTACAATTTCAAGCCAAACACTCGAAAAGTACCCCTCTTTTAAACACCTATAACTTCGTTGAAAGTAAGACTTTCGGAGAGGGGGATGTGGGAATGAGTAGAGCTAGGTTGGCTCTTGTTACCTGGTTTGAACGATTTCTGAAACATTTTCTTTCCAGAAAGTTTCACCGCTGTGATCCTCTTGTGATCCTCTTGTGATCATGAGGGGCCAACCACAAGTCGCCACGATTTGGACATCCATGGCAAGTTTCATACACGGTCTTTCGAAAAAAAGAACTGTACCGGACGCATGAAGCTTTCTAATTTCCAGCACAACTTTCATTTTACCGCTAGGCCTGCTATTCGAAAAATTTCCCAGTTGTGATCATAAAAAAACCACTCCCCACGGCCCGAAAAATCAACCCCTCCGACGCCAGAAAATCTCCAGTTGCCTTTAAGACATTGGTATGCTTCTAAAACGAATGTTTTCGTCAAGTATATCATGTAATAATTCATTGGGCTCTAATTGGCATCACCTCTGCAATGCGCCATGTGTAGGGCTTTCAGGCAGAGGTGTTGGGAAGGTGCGACTTCTAGGTAGGCTTCCTAAGCGCAAGCACATGTTCCTGCGATCAGAAAGGTCTGAAAATGTAATTTCATCTGTTTATTGGTCGTCACGTCGTGAGTCCTTTGGTTTATTCATAGATATGGTGCCCTTGTGGGCGGTCATCGTAGCTCCTACCATCGCCCCTTCCTCGTACGTATTGTCTGCATGCTCCACCAGCCCCATAGTGCTGGACGTGCTCGGGACGTACGTAGGTACTGCGACCTCTCCGCCCCCCCCTCCGTTCGACAGCCAAAATTTTGGGAAAAAACCAGAGATTTCGGGAAAGTAATGGCAACAGTGGGTAGGAGGTTGGGAGAATCTAGAAAATGGAAGGTAGCATGGGCGGAGCGATCGTACTTGAGGATGAATGCAGGGGGAGCGGTCGTACTTTTCAGGAACTGATTCACAACGGCAATGGCGCTGCCCTGCCTAACATACATCCTTTAGGGATAGAGACCTGTAAAGGTTCACAGCATATCTGATCAAGATTTATGCTTGGAAGTTCTTTCAGGCCTCGAGGACTGATGCATATGGGAAGTGAATCCGTTACGTAAAGACACAACCCTAAATGGAGAGTGATGCGAACTTACCAAGCATGCAGAAGTATTTCGCCGTGTGCCAGCCGTTTACTCTCTCGGGGTCTTCACTGACAATTGATACGTACGAACTTTATTTTGTTAGGCCCGGATCTCTGACCGATTCTTAACTAGAGTTGCTTCGCTTCAAACAAATAATGATTCGCATACAAAGCACATTCTAATAATTTTTAATGAATTGCAAAAACGGTGGACGTCAGCGCAACGTCCTTCATCTCCAACTTACCGCCGTTCTGGTGGATTATTTTCAATTATAAGGGACCTAATTGAAAATCGTTCCTTCTCGGCAATTCGGAAGACATTAGAACGTGAAAAAGTCTTTGAGGCTACGATATCAAAGAGTATCTTGGTCATTCTGGGCTCAGATATTGATGAGGATCAGTATGGGGTATGGCTTAGGATTATAAAGGCTGCTGCCGGTGGTGGATGCGGCGCTGCGCACACCCCTAGCCTTTGCGTACGAGGGTATTGTCTGATGGTTCTTAATGTATATAGGAGGGTCATTGCTACTGAGACAATTTGGGCACAAAAGCAAATTCGTCGCCAGCGGCAATCTTCTTGAGGCCATCGTAGGATGGGACGCCCCACGTTTGTTATTCCGGGAACTGGGCTCGGCTGTCCCGTTATTTCACAAGTCAAGAGTGACTTAGGACAAACTTTCGAGTTGTAAAACTGCACGCTGGAAGACAGGAGCTATTGGGAAAAATGCCGAAAATGTTTCAATGCCATGCTTACATTAACAACCTTTAACAGTCAAACTTACCAGCTTTCCCATCTTGTTCCGCGCCTGGAATCTCCTTTGCCAATGCGAGTTTCCTGTGAGCGTGAGACAATATGGAATGGATCCTTGTGCTGAACTGTCCTTACTGAGTTCGAGTATATAGCAAAGTCGTGCTCGCGCACAAAAGAAACCTGATCCTTCTTCCCTCGCAAGAATCGCTATATTTTCTGTCGACGAAAACCTAATATTACCCGAAAAGAAGATGCCTACAGTGCAGTAGTAGGTGTCAAAAAATTTGGTGTTCATCAATATCCATACCTTAGAAACTGAGCATGTAATGTCTGCATTTTTCGGGGGGATTACAACGGGTGCCGACGAATGTAGTGAAATCTTTTGGCTTGGCTTTGAATGCGTACGTAATTCTTGAGAGATCCCAAGCATTCACGGTTCAACTTTACGTTGCTCTTCGTTCAACGCACAATGTGCCGCCGTAAGAACGTGACGTGGCGATATCAGGAAACCACTGCACGGTGTGAACAGATTTTTCATACTGAAAAATGAGTGAAGTCATTTTACTTTACACGGCAATCGGACAAAAACGCTTACGTCCTGTATCTTTATGAGTGCGTAGCCTGACCATCCAGGGGTACTCGCCTGGCTTTATAGGACTTCCTCCAATTATTTTATATCTTGAGGAAGATCCTGAACATGTGCTTCTCATTTTCTTCATCTCAGAACAAAGAGAAACCGAAATCACTGATTTTCGTTGGAAATCACGTGCTACTCCCTTAAGTGTTTTATTCTCGATATTTCCCGCTGATGGAGAAGAAGAATGAAGATTTTTCTTCCTTTTCTCCGCCTCTGTAGACCATCCTGTTGAGCTCCGCTCAAACCCGGTAGTTGAAGGAGATTAGGTTGAGTAACACATTTGGAAATTTCGGCCTCCTCATGTACTCCACAATCTCCGATTTGAAGTAGGCGAGAGTTTTTCGAACACCATTAGCTGTGACCCAACCCTGTTTATCTAAATGCATAGACCTTCTTCACTTCTGGTGCACTGAAGATTACTTCGTATTTTGGTACACACGAAGGTGATGGACGAGGGTGTGCTCGTGCTTATCGTGGAACATCTTGGGTATTCTCCACCCTGGTTCTCGTATCCACGTCTTCTCTCTGTCTGCGTACTCTTTGCTAATATTATGTGCTCCGGGCAGAGTGTCATTTCCCCCCCCCCTGTCTTTGCTTCCACACAACCCCTTCCAGAACCCACGGAATAACTACAAGACAGCTGTTCTACGTCTAGGTAAAGTCAAGTGATGGGTAGAGGGATTGATAGGAAAGCCAGAGGAAGCGCCTCGTACACGGCCTCCTTTGCATTTCCAATAACACCCAGTGTTATGCGGCTTTCCTGGTCCGATGACACTCTCGCTGTAGTCTAGCAACTGAAAGTATTTTCGCCACGGGACGGGTTTTCAGAGTCCGTCACAACTCCGTTTCTAACATTATCCCCCATACACCTTGTCACACTTCCGTTGACTTTTGATTTCTCGAAAAACGACCCCTCCCACCGTTCCAGCAAGCTAGATACGACCTCCCTTTGACGATTCCTCATTGGGAGCCTGACCTGGATGCATACCTTTACCGAAATAAACAGGCCTCCACAGAAAGCATCGGCATTGATCGATGACAACCAGGAAAATACCTCACCTTGCCGAACTGCACCAAAACCTCTTTTTTTTTCGCGCTGCAGCAAGGTAGCACATGAATAGCACATGTGAAACAGGAAAAACGGGGAGACAATACGACCCCCCCCTTCTACCAACTCTTATATAAATTCCAAAATTTCCCGAAAACCTCTCTACTTTTTCTCAAAAATTTTGCTGTTGAGCGGTGGAGAGGGGGATATATAGTACGCATGAAAGGAGAATAATGATACGTCAACCACCTCCCATCACTCCTAGAAAGTTTATACGACCCCCCCCCCTCTCAACAGTGAACAAGTACGACCTCTTCCCCCCCTTTTTTACAACGTCCGTGAAGCGAGAAAAATCAAGTATCAAAATAAATTTCTCTTAGCCCAAATACGCCCCCCTTGTTGGGGATTCCCTAACAACGGTTTGCCCTAGCCGTCAAGTAGTATGTTGACCATGACAAGAATGCTTGCCAGTGCGATAGCGCAGACGGAGTTTTAAAAGGACCCCCAGGTGTCACTACGTTCCAGCTCCGTCCTTGAGTGCAAGGTGCACTGCAAATGCACAAAAAGAGCACAAAAATGGCATGCTTACCGATGGGAACTCTCTCACGTGGAAAAACCATTCTTGGAAGTGACTATGGGTGACTATGCAGTTTGCCTTTTGAAGAAGTGAAACCTTCTCATGTAACCAACAATACATGTCGCATGGAAGACTTACCCAAGTTGCCCACACCGCAGCTTTTCTGCAAGAGTTCGTTTTCTTTTCGTGAAAGACGGTAGCATTTTGCCGTCACAAGCAGGAAGAGTACATTGGACAGAATCATCTGAAAATGGGAAAAGTTGAAATGTCGTGGTCATTCCGAGAAGCATTGAGAAACCACTGAAGTCCCGGAATTTACAATCGCGGGCCTTGTCTAGGACTCTCTTTTCGTCTGCACTCTAGCAAAACACCACTGGTCTCCGCTAATTGACAACCGTCTGTCATCGCGTTCTCGTCTAGAGCACAGGAGAGCTGTTGTAACGGTTTGTTCTGGGCGACGTTTAAAAGAACCTCCTTGGCGTGCTAGGGTAAAAAAGCTGACAATGTTAGAGCTATTTCTGGATACTTCCGATGGAGAATCATAAGGCCAAGGGAGCGAACTGTCGTACGATTCGGGCTATTCCCTGGTGGCCCGCAAATGAAAAAGACACGAGCCAACCGGCTAGATTATCGCTTTTATTAGCAAGCATAACCGTGTCTCACCTGCAATGAAAGGCTATTCAAATTCATCGTCTTACAAAAGAGTTGCATTCACTAATGGCAGTCTGTTTTTAGTGGGACACGTTTCAGTTAGGTTTTATTGAGAAAAACCCTTCTATGTTGATCATCTCTCTGGATTCTCCATTTCAACACAAAAGATGTATTTCTGCAAGGGCAGTTAATTTCGTAGTAGCCCTTTTCTTGCCTATGGTGGAGCGGAAGGAAGCTTCATTCTGATTGCCCAAGCATGGGATTGTCTGCAGTTTGAAATCAGTCATTCATGTCCCATTTTCTCTGAGCTAAAGACGCATCCATGAAAAGTAGGTGTGCCTTACATACCCTTGTACGCTCCTGAATCAGATGACGAGGTGCAAACAGACTTCGGAATATCTATCTCAGAGCTCGAGCCCGTAGCCCTTCATGCTTCCCTTTTTGAGGTGCGTGACGAAACGATAAGGAGGAGGCGATTTAGAGGCAAGTAGCTCAGTTTCACCCTTGTCCGTTTGTGAGGCAAACCCGTGTATAGGGACTTTCCTTAACCGTGAGCATCGAGTTCTTCTTCCCCTTTGCACATTTTTGATTTGTTCTCATTTGAGTTACTGATGTGTATCGAATCAGAGAGTGAAAACCAAACACCACTGCCGTGTAGTCTGTGAGGCCTACCTTGCTACGGACGAAGGGCGGGGGTTGTGGGGCGGGATGAATCGGCGCCAGAAACGTTCTCTGAAGCGAAGATTTAACAAGATTGTACCTTCCGGTCGCACCGCTCCTTTTCTATCGATTGTTGTCGCACCTACTACCTACTTCAACAACTGGCAAAGAACGAGTATGGCGCCGTGGCCCACTCATTCTGCCTGACATGCCCCCTCATCCGTGGCGAACTAGAGTATATCCCGCGTCGGTTGCTTCCGGTATTGCTCGAACTCGACACACTTTGGTTTTTGATTTTGGGTGCGCGGCGATTGTTTCCAAATGTGAGATTACATCTAGGAAGTACATTGGACAGAATCATCTGAAAATGGGAAAGGTTGAAATATCGTGGTCATTCCGAGAAGATGAGAAACACTGAAGTCCAATCCAAGTCCATCTAGGAAGTCCAATCCAGGTCCATCTAAGAAGTACATTGGACAGAATCATCTGAAAATGAAAAAAGTTGAAATATCGTGGTCATTCCGAGAAGACGGGAAACATTGAAGTCATAGAGTTTGCAATCACGGGCCTGAATATAACTCTTTTTTCATCTACACTCTACAAAACACCAATGGCCTGCGCTAGTTGACTACCCTTTGTGGTCGCCTTCCCGTCTACAACGCTGGAGTGCTGTTGTAACGGTAGCGCGACGACGAGTGTCATCGCGATGTCTGGACGCTGGTAGAGGAATCTCGTTATGATACTGGCGTGCTAGGGTAAAACAGCTGACATTGTTGGAGCTATTTTTATGATATCTCCAGATCGAGGATCACAAGGCAATCCTCTGGAAGAAGAGACGTATGCACGAAAGTAGGATGCAAACTGATCGAAATAGTGGAGCTTGGGGAGGGGAGCGAACTGTCCAACGATTTGGACCAAATACCAACCGCTGGTGGCCCACAACTAAAAAAGCATGGGCAACTGGCTGATTTTCGTTTTTTTTTTGCAAGCATAATGTCTCTCACCTGCAATGAAACGCTATTCAAATTCATCGTCCTACAATACTATTGCACTCAGCAATGGCAGCCTATTTTTAGTAGAACACGTTCAAGTTTAGTTTTGTCGCAGCAATAAAAGCTTCTAACTTGATTCTATTTGAATTCTGCATTCCAGCGCAACAGATGTAATTCTTCAAGAGCGGCTGATTCTCGTACTAGCACTTTTCTGCCTATAGAGAGCGAAAGAATGCTTCGTTCTTATTGTCCAAGCATGGAATTGCCTGCAATTCGAAATTTGTAGTTCTCCATGTCCCATTTTCCCTGAGCTGAAGACGCATTCATGAGGAGGGGGTGTGCCTCCTATACGCTCGTACAGTCGGAGAATGGGATAAGGAGGTGCAAACTGATTTTGCAATATCCATCTCGGAGCTCGAGGGATGGCCGGAACGGCCAACTTATTGCGCGTCATCACTGATTTGAAAAAGGGAGAGCGACTATGTGGTTTCCCGTTTTTGTTAGCAAGCATAATGTCTCTTCCTCTAGCACGGCACATCGTTGCTGGGTATTCCCCAACAAGGGGGGGGGTCGTATTTGGCCGCTGGGAGAGGGAGGGGGTCGTAATGAGTGGGGAGTCAGTACCGAGCAGCGCAAAGGTGTCTGTGTGCTGAGTCCTGTATAGCGAAACTTGCTTTGTTTAGTCATCCCGAACATGTGAAAAAAGAACAGTGGAGGATTCCCATTAATTAAGTTCATCCAAAATAAACTAGAAATAAGATGACATCACTTCCTAAACACGTGGATGACTAAACAATACAACATGAACCCTGGTTCGCTGAGGATGGTGGGGTGTGTCCACGTAACTGCGCTTTGCGCGGCGCCAACATGTTTTTTCTTTCAAAGAACGACCATATCGTTCGTATCAGACGTTTTCCAGCAACTGGTCTCCTTTATCAGACTCAGCAAGTGGTGAAGCAAGGATCTGGTGGTGTACCGTTGTTGCTGCGATGGGGAGTACACGGTCCATCATCCGCAACGGACAATACTGTAAACAAGAGCGGAGCTTGACCATGGTCCTCTTTGAATCCTAGAAACACATCTGCTCGCGTAGACAGGCATTGCGTGGAACTTAAACCATCCCACTACCTCTGCGCAGGAGACTAAGCACTGCGCTTCCAGAAATGAAGTTAATGGAGCTGCACCAACTACGGCTTGTTCCTATTCCACGAAGGGATGCATTCTATATGCAGTCCTGAATATACGAATAACTCTACTTGAGACGTGCACAGAAAAGGGTTTTTCGCTCAACTCGGAATATTCCTCAGAATATCCCCATACGATTTTCTCATGAATCCCGGAAACTCCAGAAACAACTCGATTGGTTTTCGAAAAGAGAAAACCCTCTAATATTAGACACTGGTTTCGGATAGAGTTGAGTTTTAAGAACAATTATCTTTGATCAAACCAGTATTCATCCGAATGCGGAAATGTCAACTGATCCCAGTCCCTGAACCCAGTTCCTGTCGCGCGTGCGAATCTGAACACAACAGTCTGTAGGTTGGAGAACAGCATTCTGTGCACTGGAGACCCACACAGCCGTTCTATCTCTCAGGGGTTCTAAAAGAAACTGAGGATCCCTCACCCGCTCAGTCAACACGCCACTCTGTAGAATATAGTAAATGATGGTTATATCTTTTGTTTTCACCTGTTTCAAGTAGGGACCGCATGGCTTTACATGCTAGCTGAAGTAACACATGTATTAGATCAACGGTGTTCATCTAAACTCAGTTCACTTAAATAGAGGGACCAGTTTCGCTGGGATCCTGTCTAGTGAGCCTACGGCAAGTTGGAAGTTCCACTCGTGAATTCTTTAGCTGGGTGACATTCGGTGCTGGAAGGTGCTCAGAAGCCAAGAGAAGCTTTTACTCGGCAGTGGTTTTTTTCCCCATAGGTGTTGGGAGAAAATGCAAATAAAAAGTCGAAAAAACAACAAACCTTCGAGGGGGGGGTCGTATTGTGGGCGTTGAGCAGCACTCTGCATCGGCACTCAGCGATACCTCGTCGACCTAAATTCTAAACGAACAGATCCGAGGAAACGATTTTTTGAAGCGACTAGAATGAAGCCTTAGCTAATACCGGAGGATTTCTTAGGAAGGCCTTCATCTAAGACAAGTGGAGCTGCCAGACCGGACGCTAGCAGCGGAAGGCAACTACAGGATTAAGCCTGTCTCCTGTGCTTACGTATACCCTCGCTGTGCACTTGTTGAAGTGATCCAGAAGCTCCTAGTCGATGTTGACTCGTGTGCGCAGTATTTTATAATTCAGGCAAGCATTTCTGGACCTTCTTGAGAGCACCGGCACATTCCAATAAAGATTTCAGGCTGAATTTTCTTTTTTACAAGTTCTACTCTCCCGCGGTGTAGCCTGTCGTTACCTGAATTGTCCTCTGAATAGGAATATGCTGAGGCAGACTCGACGATGAGGAATAGACCGATGACTCCGATGCGGTGAATTCTCTTATTCTCTTTTTGCAACTGACGTCTTTGTCCTCGTTATTATTCTCCTTCGAGTCCAAAAACATTTATTCCATGGGGCCGTCGAGAACCTCCTTCTCAAGGAGTGTGAGCTCGCAGTCGTTCATAGAGCACGACATCTGAAACATCAGCGACTAAGACACCAGTATGAAAACGGTAGTCTCAATCAAGAGGTGAACTTAAGTCAACGTCCATGATGTGGTTACTATGCTCACCACAATATTATCAATCCCGGTTGCAGCGCTCTAATTGCTTCTCCCGGTACTCCGAGCTAGCGTACTAATGAGCTACCCTCATGCTACGGAAGTTCCAGTGATTCCCATAAGAGACCGCATCCGTTGACTAACAACACTGCGGTGATAGAAAGGGTGAGGAAAATAAAAACCAAAGAGCAATTGACGGATCGATTCAGTTTCTGATTTAAAGACCACACCATCTCAAAGGCAAAGACCGCAAACATTCGCCAACACAGATAGTGGATTAGTGGTTAGCATTTAAATGACAAGGTGCTATGTAACTCGACGTAACTATGACCGTACGAATGACAATTTTCATGCTTTTCGTCCTGCAACTTCGTTTTTCACTAGAGCGCGGGCCCCGGAGGCGGAGCCTGGAGGCGGAGTCACTGGAAGAAAGGGGGCGTCACTGAACCTATATTGCGCTACAGCGCCCATCTTTTACAATTTTTGACGCGAAACCGGTACAAAGTTGTTCATCACGGGCCCCACTACCCTACAGACCTCCACATTTTCAAATTCTATACCTGATCGCGCACCATATCTTTAAGGGGAGCTCAGCGTAGAATATATTAGGTCATCCCATTCAGGTTGCCGTGAAATATAGAGGAACGGCAGAAAATCAAAGGGGGTTAGGGAACCGGGCTACTATTTCATTTGGAGGCTAGTAGCTTTAGCTGTGTATCAGTGAAATTGGCGACCCTATCCACGGAAGAAGTTCTCGAGAAATTGAAGAGAAGCCCGAGTGGTAAAAATTAGCACCTGATTTCCAAATCAGACCTCATAAGAAGGAAGCGCTCACACACACAAATTCGACCGGCGCCGGACCAGTGGTAGTGTGCCTTCGTCGAGCTTGCCCGCGGGACTGACATCCCAGCTGCAACTACTGCCCGAGTTATGTCCAATAAACTGAGGATGGTCAAGAGGGTGTGCGCATGGGTACCTAATTTTCTTGCAGAAGCACGAACGCAGTACCTATTCTGCGCCTTTAGCAGCAATCTTCGCAGTATAAGATGTCATTCACGACTGTGCCCTAGATGAAATATGGGTGGTCTTCGACCTCAAGCCAAAACTCACAAAAGTCAAGTTGGTATGAATGCAGATGAGAAGCAGCCCGAGTTCTACCACGAGGGGATACTTGGGCGCAAGTGGATGATAATCATAGCGAAGGATTTCTACACTGAAGCTTTCAGGAGGCTCTATACAGAAAATAAAATCGTAGCTGTCGGTGTATATTGCCCGTTCCTCGGCAATCATATCGACAAATGGATGATACCCACACAAAACTACAAGAAGGCCACCGTTGCTCGTCATAGTGCCAGACCCCGAGTAACTGTATTGTAGGGTAGTACTAGACACGAACAATACTGAGACCTGGGTTCAATCGCCCTATTCGCTCAAAAGCCGTTTGATTTCTACTGATATGGTCAGTCGAGAGTACTCTCCGACGGGAAACGCTACAGCATTTTGTCATTCGACGAAATTGACATCAACAGAAATTTACTCGCACTTGCTGAAAATCGAAGGTACCAGAGGGTCGAAGTATTGGGAGGGGGTCATTGGTGAAGAAGGGATTTACTTGACTTGGAGCCAAATTACTTTTCTTATCTATTCTCCTCTTTGTTTTATTCGAAAAAAAAACGACGGCACTTTTGAATGGGATGAACTAATAACAGAGTGGCAGTGCACGAGTGTAACAGCACTTCCGACACATGAGAGTGCGGGAAATGAGGTGGAGCTAGCGGTATTCGAGTGCCGTTAAGCACTCTGCCGCATTATCCTCGAGACCAGCCTTTGCGTCAAAACCACAACGAAACCCATGATCAGCGGTGAAGAATCACTAGAAGGAAGAAGCGAGGGTGTGTACTGGGCTATGGCTAGGACCGGTGATACCAGGGCAGCATTACCCTCCAGCTCCGTTCCCGAGCATTTCGAGCGAGGAAAAAGCGCGCTGCTGCGGCGAATGACTCAATCACCCCGCACATGGCAAGGAAAAGGATGAGTTGAGTGTAGAGTCCGTCTTCTAGTAATACTGGAATAAAGGAATGTGAGGAATGTCGCTTTTGAGTCTAGTAAGCACTCAAACGCCAAATGGGTGTCATATCCGTGTCCAGGGAGCGAAACTACCTTTGGGGACAGGTTTCTCGCCAGATGTGAGGTTTCGAGCTAAATTTGAAAAAGTGTGGAAGCACTTGATCGAATGATGGTCATTAATAGTCTAAGGAGAGCCTCTTGTCGACTTCTGGCGGCATTTGCTCGTAGATATCAGGGAAAAAGGAGCAGCAACAAAATGAAGTGTGGCAAGACCAGGATTTGCGCAGGAGAATGTATCTGCAGTTGAATAGGAATAGGTGTGAACATCAACTGAACAGACCCATGGATGCTACACTTTACGAAGTTCAGTCAAATTGCGAGATTTGGCTAGAGACCTCTAGCTATCTTATTTTGCCGCGATAAACATGAGCATGGCACTCGCTCAGCGCCTGCACTGTGCGCCAAGTGCACCTGTACATCCATTCTCGTAAATCACAAGGTACCAAGTGCGCCAGTAAGCGAACGCAAACTGTTTTTCAGGCAAATTTGGGAGAGCGCTGATGTAGTAGTGACGCCACAGCCACTTTTTGCCACTTTTGCGAAAGAAGCAAAAAAAAGTCAAGTTCGCGCAGAATCCGATCTCATGACCAATTGCGTAGTAGACGCGCAAGAAAAGCTCCATAACTCCGTTCAGAAAATCGTTCTGCAAATTTCGAAGGCAGATTTAAAATCAGTGTCCAAAATCACGTCCTGCGAGCTACATCGCATTAGAAAAGGTCACATCGTTTTGACGACCTTCACTAGTACATTCCTTATCTCGAAGCTAGAGTAGGCGTGGCATTTGAACATGACACGAAACTGGTTACTCATTGAATATTCCAGTTTGGAACAACTTTCATCTCGTCCTGTGTTGGACAGAGACACGAACAATTGTGTCAAGATGAAAATGTCTCACCAGAAGCATTCTTCAGGTTAAAGGCAGCCGCCCGCGATCACTCGCCATCACAGATAGTGTTTTAGGGATTTGGTATAGATGACAAGATGTTGTGTAACTCGGTAGTGAAGGAGAAAGCAGAAAAAATTATACGAACTGCCCTAGACAGACCCCATTTTGATCCCACTTCGTACGTGTCCACTTACTCCATTTTCAATACTACGCCCTCATCTGCACAGCTTATTTCCCGACATGAACTGAACGGCCACACAAGTGACGATTCAAATGCTTTCTTTGTGTCGCAGCTTCGTTCTATAGTGAAAGACATTAATACCGTTTTTTTACGTAGATGTCAATGCTATTAGGCTACGTCCGTACTTTGTGAAGCGGGAAGAACTGGACTGGCAGGAGAGTTGACGTTCTTAGATAATCTGCATATCAGGACAATGTGCGAAATGTGTAGGTTTCGATCAAACGTCTTATAAAAACTGGTGGTCTATCGAAGGGAAAGCATGTTTATAGATTGGTGGCGGTCGCTATGGCTCCGCAGGAATCAGCACTGTGGAGGAATCGGGGTGCTGGTAGCCAGTGCATCCCTGATCCACATGTGCTACCGAGAGTGCACATGTCTATGCGATCTGTGCTAACAAGGTCAGTCTAGGCTAAGAAGCTTCTTTGAACAATACAGCGCTCCCACAGAGCCGATCCCGACGTGCACTCATGGGAAGGTGAATGGTTGGTGTTGTCTACACTTCGTGTAGTCGCGCCGTGTGTGAGTGAAGCTTTAATAGTAGCTCGCCAAATCCTTATAGCACTCTTTCACACATAACTGCTGTAGCGGAGCCAACAGTGACATTCTTCCAGTCTGCTTCTTCTCATAGCGAATCCTGAATTGAAAACGAATGATCACTTCAATCGGAACCACAAATGGAAATCGAATTGGGAACCACCGAAGTTTATGAGAGACACTACTTCACCTGTGCTCCCTGTTTCTCCTCCTATAGGACAGTTCCTTGAAGTGGAACTTGTACTTCAAGACGACAAGCTGCTATGCCATCGGTGGGCATTACCTGTATTCTTAGTGAGAGAAAACTGCAACTATCCAGCTGAAAAGCTCAAAGCAGGCCTGAACTTCTAATTAGTCGACAGAAACAAATTTAAATGGAAAAAGAGTTGCAACAAAGGAGGGATTTCGGCTGTCAAGAGGACAGCTAGTAAACCCTGAGTCACTTTTAATTTCACATCTTGGGACTAGTTTTGTCATGATGTAAGATCTTTTTACATGATCACCTCGTTGGCAGGAAAGCAGAGATAAGGGCCTCTAATCATAAACTTTTTTTTTGTAAAAACCTGTGGTCTGGCAGATCCAGTCGATGCTTTTCCGCACATCGCCGAAGAATGCCCATTCAGCTGAAATATATGGCGTCGGTCATATTATATATAGCAATTTTATGATGGGTCTACTGTAGCGAAGTATTATGGCTCTAGATAAGACTACAAAATGGCGAGGGGTCACAGAATTGAAGACTGCAGCATGGCCCTATTTTCACAGAATACAACACATCTACGTCTTACGCCCAGCTCTCCGTTTTCTTCCTATTTCATGTAACTTCCACAGTAACTTGACAATAACCTTTACGCAGCTGGCATGCAGTCTACATGTAACCTGCTTGCAGCTTGCATATAATTTACATTACTTGTTTATTTTATAAATGTTTGTGAATCGTAGTGTGTAACTTTGTAAATTTTGTAAGTGTACAAGCTGTGTGTAAAATGCACGAGAGCTCATGTGGGGGAGAGTTCAAACTTCACAAATGCGGATTTATGCGCTAGCGCAGCAGTAGCACTTCTATGCTATAAACGAGAACCCAGCCTGGATACCGATCGGCGCCTGCTGTTGTACAGGTAGAGTATGGGATTACAGGAATAGTGTCTAATCACCAGGTGAGGTAACGATCTGCGCAGGTCATCAGTGTTTTGGGAGAGTATAAAGCAATAGGAGGATACCAGACTGTTATCACAAGAGTGCTGGGTTGCGGGCAAAAGTCGTGCCCCAGGCGGGAGTCGAACCCGCACCTCACGCTTTCCGGGCGCTATCCGTTACGCCACCAGGTCCGCTGTTACCCTCTCAGCTTAACGGCTTTTATGCCGTAACCTTACAGCACTCACATGTTTAACTTGGTGAGCCGGTCAGCCGTTATCATTAGATATCGGCATGGAACCGCCATGCCGAAGGCTTTACAAGTTTTTGAAGCTGTTTCGTTATGATAACTGCTGTTTAACGCCGCAGTACGCGTTCACCAAGTTAAACGTGTGACGACAATAAGGTTACGGCATAATACGTTAAGGATAGGGTAAAAGGTGGCCCTGGTGGCGTAAGGGATAGCGCTTACACCCGGAAAGCGTGAGGTGCGGGTTCGACTCCCGCCTGGGGCACGACTTTTGCCCACAACTCTGCATTCTTGTAATAACATTCGGAACGCGTACTGCGGCGTTAAACAGCAGTTATAATAAAAAACAGCTTCAAAAATACCAAACGGTGTTGTTAGGGAACACACACCTTTTCGCTACACTCTCGAAACCATAGCAGACAGCGCCTATCCATGTCCTACACGTCAAAGGATTCCCGCCTATAGTAATGGAGGGCTATAGTCTTAGAAGCGGTGCCTTTTGGGAGGGGGCGGAAAATAAGAATTTTGAAGCTAAAAAAGACCCTGCGGCATTTGGGTAAAAGGTGTTCCACACCCTAGAAATAAATGCTTACCACGATGTGCACGTATAATTTCCTAGCAAAGTACATTACATATCATCACGTTCAGTCAGATTGGTTTTGAGGAGTGAATCATCGCGACTTGTCACGTTTCCTCCACTGGTTCTTCTCTTCGCAAGTGAACCCTAACCGGTAACCACTGGTACTGCAAGGAAGCCGAAGCGGGCTCATTCTGCCGTATTCGCCCCAACTGATTGCATGTTACAAACCATAAGTTCGTTGCAAATTGTAGGCGGTACACAACCGACAGCCTTATTTGCTAACGATGATGAGGCATGGTAAAAAGGAAAAGTTTGATGCGGTGACAGCTCGCCATCTTCTTCTTTTTCTTTCTTTCGGCAAGGACAAGAGTGGGAGGGTACGGGTTGGCGCACAGAACGCAGCCTTACTGACGTGGTCATCCGCAGCGAACAGGACTGCACATGCAAGAAGAGGACCATTTGAGTCCCTGCCACCTCACAGTCAGACTTCCTTTCGCTTTTCTAGTGTGACGATTTCCTTCTAGACCACTCTCCTTTCCTTTTGCAGTTACAAAGTAGATACAATGAAAACGTACTTGGCTTTTCACACTGGGGAAGTGTTAAGTCCATAAGTCCACCTGACAAAACGCCGAGTACCACGTATCGCCCTTTTTTGTTGAGCTGGAATAGTGGTCCACCGCTATCTCCCTATAAATAGCAAGTCTTTGAAAGTTTCAGCATCTGAAATGTTGGAAACACTCTGGAAAGAATTAGTTGTGTTTACTTCAAAGAGTGATGTGAACATAATTTGCTGTGAAGGGCGCCTGTTGAATTCTGACCAGAGAAAGAAAAAGTGAAAAGTGAGGCGCTTGAAATGATAACTGCTGGCCGCTGCACTATTTATGGGAGGGATCAGTGAGTGGAACTGAACTAGGGTCAAGGACGTCGTAATTTCAGACCCCCACACTCATCGGCATGCTTATCTTTCCCACAAAAAAGTTGTGAAATGTCACCATGAAAAGATACACTAGAAGAAGGGTGATCTGACAGAGTCGTTCAGGGTTCAATAGGAGATTTCAAACGCGTACCACACCTATGGTCTATTTTTTCCCCTGACTTCTCCTCGATGGCGTGTTGATCTCAATTTGCTTGCCATCATATCATTCTCCTCAACATAAAAAAGTAAAGGCACTTTTGAAGTTGCTGTGTACTTTACAAGAGTCTTCCCCTATCTGATCCCTTACCAGTTCTTCAATCATCCAACCATCACTGCTTCCTTTTTGGAGCACTCCTAGTGACGTCATTTCCAAACAATTTTTCCTGGACACAGTAATTGGTTCCAACTCACACAGTCTCGTTACGTGCTCGGGCGCGCATCAACCGCAATGCCGTGTAAACTTATCTGATAGCGGACTTATGTGCCAGACTTTAAACTGATTTAGGCGCGTTTTATCTCTCTGTGGCGCTCAATGCCATACGTCAGCACTAGTTCCGACCGCGGAGCTTTCTTCTCAATTCCACTAGCTTTTCTTTTGTGGCTAGGTTGGTTGGCCCTTTCCTCTCCTATTGCTGCATATCTACACGTTGAGTGATTTGAGCTAATACGGTGCTTTCTCAGATGAGACACCTCCCATCTTCTCACCCATAGCCAGTTTATTGCCATTATGTTTGCCTGCATCATACTGGCAAGTGGCGGAAACAAGGTAGCACCGCGTCAAAAGGTGCTTAAGCCCAAAACGTGCTTAAGCTGAAGCACGTTTTGACGCGATGCTATCCACATGACTCACCGACATTAACTGTATAAGAAAATAGAGCTCCTACTCCCTATCCAGCTATTCTTCATGATCTTCCACGTGGCAAAAGTCTCACCCTCATATAGTAGAAGCCCTGTGGCCCTGTGCACGCAAATATCAACCTCGCCACGTACAGTGTGTCTTAGAGACCCATAATGGTTCACAGATATCTGACCCAAATTCTGTTGGAAGCACTTTTAGCTCGAAAGGCTAGGACAATATGGTTGACTCAATCCGTAAAGATGTATAGCTCCGAATGAGGGTGATTCCGACTTACCGAGCATACAGAAGAGTTTTTTCCTTGTGCGAGCAGTACTTCTCTGTGATCTTCGCTGACAAAGTGATATGTAGTAACTTTGTAGCCGGGATCTCTCGACATATCTTAGCAGGCTGCATTACTTCAATATCAAATAATTATTAGCATGCATAAGCACATTCCAAATGAACTTAGTAAGAGTAAGGGGATTTCCAAAAGAGAGGACGTCAGCTCAACGTTCTCAGGCTAGTTACCGCCATTCTGGTCGGTTTTCCCCCAACATAAGGGTCCTATTAGAAAAATTGTTCCTTTCTCGACAATCCCGGATGACATTAGATGTGAGAAACTCTTTGAGGCTTTGATGTCAAGAACACATCTTGACACTATGGACACAGATATTCACGAGGATCAGAATGGGTGTATGCCTAGTCTATAAAGGGCTGCCGCAGTAGTGGGTGAGGTCTGCGACGCCGCCAGCTTTTGCGTGAACAAAGGCAAACTGTTACATTACTACTGTGGACGATACGTTTTGAACAAAAGCAAATTCCTTGCCTAGCGACAATTCATGTGGGCATTAGGAAGGATCGCCCATCTCCCGTTTAGATTCGAAGAGAGATGGGAGCGCCTCTCCCAATTATTCCACAACTCAGAGTCCCTATGGTAACTTTCAAGTTGTAAACAACTTTGGAAGATAGGACTATCGAGAAACTGCCGAAATTTTCATGCATTGTCGTATTTCAAACTTACAACTTTCCCATCCTGTTCCTGCGGCCTGGAACTCCTTTGCCAATGCAAGTTTACTGTGAGGCAAGCAAATCGGAATGGCATCCTTGTTGCTGACTTCTTTACTGAGTTCGAGGATAGCAAGGTCGTGCTGATGTACGCGGAACTTGTCCTTTTTCCCTTTCACGCATCGCTTATATTTTTGGTCGACAAAAACCTGATTAAGCGAAAAGAAGTGCTACAGTGCAGAGTACGTGTCAAAAACTTAGGTGTTCATCAATTCCAAACCTTAGAAACTGGGTGTGTAATGTTGCATTTTTCGGGGGGATTACAACGGGTGCCGACGTATATGGTAAAATCTTTCGGCTTGTTTTCCGATGGTACGTAATTCTTCAAGTATCCCAAGCATTCACGGTCAACTTTACGTTGATCTTCGTTCAACGCACAATGTGCGGCCGTAAGAACGTGGCGTGGCGAGATTAGGAAACCACTGCACGGTACGATATATTTTTCATCTGAAACTGAGTGATAGTCTTTTACTTTACATGAGAATCGGACAAAAGCGCTTACATCCTGTATCTTTATCAATATGTAGCTTGACCATCCAGGGGTACTCGCCTGGCTTTATAAGACGTCCTCCGATTATTTTGAACCTTGAGGAAGATCCTGAACATGTGCTGCTCCTTTCCCTCACATTGGAAGAACACTCGGATCAACCAAAGAGAAGCCGAAATCACTGATTTTCGATAGACATCGCGTCCTATTTCTTCGATCATTTTAGCCTTGATATTTTCCACTGTTAGGAAAGAAAACTGAAGACACACAAGAGGTTCTAAATAACGTTGTTTACTACCTTACAAATATGCACAGAACAGTGAAGCGTTCCTTTTCTTTTTACACATACGCTGTCAACATAATCAAGACCCAAGACTTTCCCAAAATTGAAGACTGTGTCATTCTAACCCCTTCCCCTGTGCACGACCACTCAGCTAAACTTCTCTGATCGAAACGACTTTATTTCCAGTGCAGATTTGTTTCAGATGCGTCGCACTTCAGAGTTGCAGCGAATTATTATCTCACCTCTCAACAACCGCTGTGAGCTGCTGATTTTTCGAAAAGTTGTAACTTCCCTTAAAATTATTTTGCAAGGTGTAGACGATTTGTGATCATCCGGAAGTCCTAAACAGAAAGGAACCAAAGTGGTTGCGAAGGCAGTGCCATGGCTTCGCTTCGATAACGGTTAAACTTTCTTAAGAGGGCGACCACACGCTCCATATCTCAGTGCCCAGGAAAAAACAAAATCAGACAAAGGAAGGAAAAAGATCTCTTCCCTTCTGTGACATCATAATCTTGCGGGAAATTCCACAAAAAAGACCGCCGCTGAGGATGCCGCTGGTGAGGAGGAAAAAGAAAAGCATGCTTCCAACGCCAGAAGTCCACGACTTCGTCCACACATAAGTTGTGAGGGAGTTTAGGAAATATCGGGAACCATGTGCTTCTAGCTGCTTCAAAACTGTGCTGCGGCTCAAATACTTTGCAAGAAATATTGCTGCGAATAGAAAGAGCGATGTAAGCTTTGAGCTAATGAAGTGAGCAATTCTATTACACAGGGGAGGCCAAAGAAAGGCGTTTTTTTTCTCGGCTTTCTGCGAAATAAGTCACACTTTTCAAAATTCTGATTCATTCCTACCACCAGATTCGGCAGCACATTGTACGCGATCAGAAAATTCCTCCGCAGCCTGCTGGACGAGCGCTATTGGGAGATTCTGTCTCGCGACCGTGTTTCAGTACCTGAGTTCAGCGAGTTCGTTGATTTCCCCACCTCTGTAGACAACCGAGCCGTGTGGTTGACCTAATCCGAGCCGAGCTCCGCCCAAACTCGAGATTAGGTTAGGTGTCGCACTTGGATATTCCGTCTTCTTTATCTACTCAACGCCCTTCGACCAGGAGTAGGCGAAATGTTTTCAAACACCATGTGCTATGAGCCAATCCTGCAGCAGTACGAAGTTTCCACGGCGGTGCAGGCGACGAATTGGTGACAGTGTTTCCCCCGAGCTGTTGATGTAACAGTTTGCGTTCAGTTCCAGTAAAGGGTGCACAAAAAAATATCTGTCTTCTCATTCGAGGAACTTTTGGCCCGTGCCTTGGCGGCTTCGGTGAAGAAGATGATATCCTGGACGGTAGCGACGTTGTCGAAGCTGCTTGATGTCGGAGGTCTTCCAGAGCAAGGGTGCCGATCTCTCGATAGCTGTCCAAAACGATACAAGTAGTTTCGTAGCTGTTTGGAAGTGAGGTTAATTCCACAGGCCTTCTTCACTTCGGCTGCGACTGTAGATGACTTCATATTTTGGTGTACATGAGCGTGATGGACGAGAGCCTGCTCCTAATCATCAAGGAGCATTTGGGTATCTTACGCCCTGGCTCTCGTTTCCACATCTTCTGTCTGGGCTGCGTATTCTTTATTGATATGTTTTCTGCCCTTCCCTGTCTTTCCTTCCACACAACCTCCTCCAGAACCCACTTAACACTTACAGAACACGCCTTTTACCCCTGGGTAACGTCAGGGTGGGCAGAGAGATTGATAGAAAAAGCCAGTGGAAGCGCCGCGTACACGACTCCCTTTACATTACTAGTAACACTCAGTGCTATGCGGCTTTTTGTTTGATGACGCTTTTGCAGTAATTCAGCAAGTGGAAGTAGTTTCGCAATGGAACAGATTTTAGAGCCACCCTTACAATTCCGTTTATAACTTTATCCCCCACCCCAACACCACCGTATGCATGTACAGCTCTAGCTTGCGGACTTTGATTATCTTCGCGAATACGTATCTCCGCACCTTCCAGGAAGGCCAGATTAAGCCCAGATACGAGCCTCCACATTACGGCCACCACAGGCGTCCTCATTGGATGCCCGACCCTGGATGCATAGCCTCAGTGGAATATACAGGCCTCCACGGAAGCATCGACAGTGATCAAGTGACAAAGAGGAAAATGCCCCACCATGTCGAACTGCAACTGAAAATTGTTTTTTCCTTTCACTGTGTCAATACCAAAATCCAAGGTGCATTGCATTGTGTAAAAGATGGGTGCTGCCAGCGAACGTAGCCGAAGTAGAAATTAGTTAGGAGTGGAGCGACACTTGCGCCTCGTTTTCATGATCGATAACAGTGCGCTGGCACGCGATAGCGAGGCGGAGTTTGAAAGGACGCCCGGTATCACTATGTTTCAGCATCGTCCGTGTGAAAAAAGGAGCAAATGTTGATGATCGCAGATAATGGCACGCTTGTCCCGGCTGCGAAACTTTCAGCTGGGGGGAAAATAGCATTCTCCCGAGGTAGTATACTGTCTTGCCTCGTAATGAAGAAGTGAAAACCTTCTCAGCAGTAACGAAGCACAACACATATTCCATGGAAAAACTTACCAAGTTGCCCACACTGGCAGCTTTTCTGCACGAGTTTCGTTTTTTCTTTTGATGAAAGACGGTAGCAGTTTTGCCTTTCACACAGCAGGAACAGTACATTGGACAGAATTCATCTGAAGATGGGAAAAGTTGAAATACGTACGAGTGGTCATTCACGCAGAGATAGTTTGAGAACACTGAAGTCCCAGAATTTGCAATCGGCAGGGCCTGGTATAAGGAACTCTATTTTCGTAACTGCACATTCTGAGCAAAACAACCACTGTCTCCGCTAATCGAACCGTTTAGTCACGCACGTTCGTCTAGGCCACAGGAGAGGCTGTTGTCACGCGTTATCTAGGCGACGTTAGAAGGAAGTTTTGCGTGTAGCTGATATAAGAAAAGGCTGACAATGTTAGAGGCTATTTCTAGATACTTCCGATGGGCCATCATAGCATCCTCTCTGGACAGAAGGAGACGTAAACAAGATAATGGAGGACCAAAACTGAATCTCAAATATCCTAACAAGGCTGTGGAGCTTGGGGATGGGAGCAACTGTCGTACGATTCGGGCTGCATACCGCTAGTGAGCACCTCAACATAGAAAAAAGACAGATGACAACTGGCCTAGATTTTCAGCTTTTTATTAGGCAAACAATAACGTCTCTCCCTGGCAATGAAAGGCTGATTCAAATATCCGGTCTTACAAAAGAGTGGGCATTCACTAATGGCATCCTGTTTTTTAGAGGACCGTACCCCCTTTCAATTGAGGTTGTATTGAGAAAAAACCCTTCTATGTTGATCCCATTCGGATTCTGCCAATTTTCAGCCCCAATAGCATGTATTTCTGCTTAAGGCAGTATTTCGGTAATATCAGCTTTTCTTGCCTATGGTCGCGGCGTGAAGGACACTTCATTCTGATTGCCCCACCAAGCACTGTCTGTATGTTCTGAAACAGTCCTTGTCCCAATTTTCTCTGCAGCTAAAACACGCATGTCATGAAAAAGGGCTGTGCCTTACATCCCTTATACTCGGATCAGATAAACGAAGGTGCAAATGTGACTTCGGCTAGAATATCTATCTCCGGAGCTCGAGAGGTGGCTTCAAACGGCCAATTTATATGCACAAAATAGATCAACTGATTGAAGAGCGGGGGGGCAACTAAGTGGTTCTCGTCCTTCATCAGCAAGCCATAATGTCTCTCTCCTGCAGTGGAAGGCCGTATTCAAATTCATCGTCCACACAGAGCGATTTCTTCACTCATGGCCTGTGTCTATTTCCAGTTAAAACACATTTCAGCCTTAACTTTAACTGTGCGCCATTAAAACCTTTTTATGTTTTCTTATTTGCAAAATCTCCATTCCACACAACAGATGCGATTTAGTGGGAAAGTCTATTTCATAATTATGCATCTTGGCTTAGCTTCGCTGATCCGCAGACGAAAAAAGCTTCGGCTTCACGCTCACATGGGTTCTGTTTGCCAGGTCGGGAGCGCCGTAGCCCTTCGTGCTTCTGCTTTCTGGAGGTGGCGTGAAACAACTGGCGAAGAACGAGTATGGTGCCGTGGCACACTCATACTGCCTAACACGCCCCTCCATCCGTGGCGAACTAGAGTATATACGAAAGGAGTCACAATTGCGCACTTAGTGGCGCGCGCTTCGAGATTTCCTGGTGGCATCCGGTATTGCTCGAACTCGATACACTTTGGTTTTTTGGTGGGTTCGCGGCGATTGTTTCCAAATGGAATGAGATTACATCTAAGAAGCCCCAACTTTCTTCTACATGAAATTGCTATTCTTGAGAACGCAAAAACTAAGAGGCTTCTGAAGGTCCACAGAGCTACTCCTAACCTATGTCGCTTAGGCACTTTTCGCGATTGCAAGTGATGGGGACCGGAATAATCTGATCACAGGCTCTGGGTACCTCACCACAAGCAGACGGTTCTGTCGGGAATCACTCAGATAAGACACCCACACTGGACCAGCATTGAAAAAAGCAAAGCTCTGCTTACGAGCGCGCCAAAGAAGTGTCCAGCAGAACAATTCATGGGCACAAAATTATTACTTGCTGTTAGGCTCCGGAGACGTTCTCTTCTTCTTTTTTTCTAGTACTCATTGGCTTTGGAGTCTCCAGCACAGCGCAGATCGGCAACGGAGGGCGGGACATTTTGCTCCTTCTCTGCTTCATCACTTCTGGTTTACGGGCTGGACCGAACTGGTAGAGCTCCCACGGTGAGATCTGTCAACACTAGTAAGCTTACGAAATCGCTCTCTAGATGTCAACACCTCGATGGGACAGTGCTGAGTGCCCACCTCGCCGAACTGCTCCGAGTCTCGTGAAATCTGTAGGCTCTTGCAAAGCTGCGGATTAGTACAAGGGAC